AATTAAGCCAGGCATGGTGGGGCATATCCTGTTAATCCCAGCTACTTGGGAGGCCGCGTAATGAGACATCACCTTCAAAACTGGTGGCAGAGGTTGCCGTGAGCCGAGATGGGCCCTCGCACTCCAGCCTAGCGACAGAGTGAGACCTCCATCTCAAACAAAAAAAAAAAAAAAAGCAACTTAAGACTTTAGGAGAAAATAGATATGAAAACAAGGTCCAAAATGAACCTATAAAAGTTCTTATGTATACCCTCTTAGTCACTAAATTAAAAAGATAAAAAGATAAGCATACCGATTAAGGAGAATATCAGTAGTAAACGTACATGTCTTCAATTTAAGATAACTGATTTTGTATAGTTCATTTCATTGACCATTCACTTCTTGCTGAAAGTTTTTTAAGACTTTGGTCTCCTTCGTGATTTCAACGAAGCACTTGAATTTTTTTTCATTTTTATGAATAATTCACAATGTTAAAAGGTCATTGCCTCAGTGTTAGATTCTCCCTCAAAATGTTCAGTATCTTCTCCGATTTTATATACGATCCCACTATAGACACACAGCTACATTCGAATAATTTTGAAGACTGAAGATTCTTCTGGATAACCAACACTTGCAGTCTTATAACTCTCCAATGTTTAACGCCCTTACTCAGCGGATGATATAATTTATATTACAAATTATAACAAGCACAGAGCACATCGCATATGCTCTGCCATACATCTCAGCTCTCTTCCTATTAAAGACAATGAAGCTGAGTTCTGAGGGTCAACTGTATTTTCCCTGTACTTCCAAAGTTCTGCTAAAACATCTGCTTATTCTCATCTCTTCACAAGAACATAAGCAACCTCAGTACAGGTATGGTCTTTACTTCAGTGATCACCATAGCAATTAAGAGTGCCTAGCACATACAAGTATTTAATAAATATTTTGTTGAGTGAAAACCATCCACTTTACTTGTCTTTCCCTACTCCCTACCACCAAGTCCCTCTAATTCTGTTTACCCAAAATGAATCATTAGAAATTAGCCTAATAGAGGTTGGCACGGTGCTCACACCCTGTAATCCCAGCACTTTGGAGGAGGCAGGCTGGTCACGAGGTCAGGAGATCGAGACCATCACCTGGCCAACATGGGTGAAACCCTGTCCTCTACTCAAAAACAAAAAATTAGCTGTGTGGGATGCGCAGATGCCTGTAGTCCAAGCTACTCCGAAGGTGAGGCAGAAGAATGGCTTGAACCCGGGAAGCGGAGATTGCAGTGGAGCTGAGATGGCGCCACTAAAAAAAAAAAAAAATGGGGTTCAGTCTAAGAGCCCTATGCTACATATTCTAAACAAGTTTAAAATTAGAGGGTAAGCAAACATACACTCAGGAAGTTCTAGAACTTCTCAAGCCCACCTGTACTCCACTGGTTGTCTTTTGAATTCTGGCACAGTTAAGGAGGCCTCATAGTCACTGTGTCTCTCACAGCACAGAAGTAAGAGGCAGAGTCTTTCATCTGGAGCTCCTGTAGAAGGAGGTAACCATAACTATCAGAGCGACTAAGGAATGAAGAAAAATGACCTCTCTCCTCCAAACCATCCAGAGCATTGTAAGAAAGAAATGTGGGTGCTCCGCCATCACGTTGCTGGTACCAAGACAGCCCATCAAACCTAGATGTCTGGTATGTGCAGTTTATCTGAACAATGGCTCCTTCCACAGCTGTCACTTCAGAGGGCTGCTCAAGGCTTTGTCCTGCAGTGCCTGTGACAAGATACATGATTGTTATTAGGGCAGCACTCCCAGAAGCCCCATCATTATTAAAAATGAGGTTTCTTCCAAAAACTATTGAAATAATTTTTTAAATGATGCCTCCATGTGGTCACAAAAGAACTGCCATTGATGGGAGAATTTCTTAGACTGAAATAAATGGTTGCAGTAACAGCAGCAGCCATAGTAATAGGAGGACAATTAGCACCACATTAGGAAAATGCATATTCAGGAAATACTCTCTTTACAAATGTCAAAATTTGCAATAATTTAGCTGAAAGGAAATTGTTTTGAAAATTCCTAGCAGCATTTGCTATTAGATTGAGACTTACCTCCCATCTTCATGGAGACATAAAGAAGGAAAGTTCCCCACATCTGCTGCAGGACACCACGAGCCTGGCACTGCATCCCCAGTTCCTGAGCCACTGGAGTCTGCAGAAGGTAGACACTTCATATGGGTGAGGGAAGGAAGCTCAGTCTGAATGCAAAACCCAATAGAAATACAAGGGGAGGAGCTTCTTTCTTGAAGGGATGAGTTCAAGCTTCCTTCCACTGGAGGAGCGATGGGTTCCCTTACAGGAATATCTTTACATGAACATTTTCTACTGATAAATCCACAGGTTTTAAGCTGGGCACAGTGGCTCATGCCTGTAATCCCAGCTACTCAAGAGGCTGAGGTGGAAAAATCCCTTGAGGCCAGGAACTGGAGACCAGCCTAAGCAACATGGTGAGGTCCCTATCTCCAAAAAATAATCCACACATTTTAATCCAAGTGATTGTGGTGAACGTCAAATATGTAAAGAACAGAGAAAACAAATGGGAACATAAGGCAAAGTCAAAACAAGTCAATTTGACCATACTAACAGTTTCCTTTCTCATGATACAACAAAATGAAATCCAGGATCAATTAGAGATGCAGTGTGTGTGTGCATATACTAAACATTGTTTGTTTGTGTGTCATATATATTTTGAAAGCTAGAAAGAGAAGGAAATTTATCTACCATTTAAGCGTACTTACAACAGCTAATATAGAAATAATCTTCAAAATATTCAAAAGTAAGTTGCAGAGTGATGAGTATTGAATATTTTTATCACAAACTTATGTACATATGCACAGAGTTTTAAAAGTGTGAGGATATATTCAATAAACTACTAACATTGGTTATGTTAGGAGTTGCAGTGGAAGAGTTGAGTGAGTTAATTTTTTTTGTACATCCCTATATTGGTTAATGTTAAAATACACATGTTTGATTATGTAATTTTTTTAAAACTAAAGGAAAGAAGAGAGATATAACAGGAAAAAAGAACTGGCAGCAGTGGCTCACACCTGTAATCTCACCACTTTGGGAGGCCAAGGCAGGCAGATCACTTGAGGTCAGAAGTTTGAGATCAGTCTGGCCACCATGGTAAGACCCTATCTCTACTAAAAATACAAAAATTAGCCAGGTGTGGTGGCACACACCTGTAATCCCAGCTACTCAGGAGGCTGAGGAAGGAGAATCACTTGAACCTGGGAGGTAGAGGTTGCAGTGAGCTGAGATCAGGCCACCGCACCGCAGCACAGGCAACAGAGTGAGACCCCATTTCAAGAGGAAAAAAGATCTGAGAAAAAGGGAGGAAAACAGAGAGAAAAAAATGAAAACTTCAACAATATGTTAAACTATTTATCAAGATGTCCCAGAAATAAATTTATTATCTCTACGAAATTTTTTCATACCTATTTTTCATACTTATTGGCCTCTCATTAATACTATTCAATATTAAAGGTGGCTACAATTAAAGAAAGACCTACATACAAATAACAAGTGTTGGCAAGAATATGGAGAAGTTAGAAACTTCATATATTGCTGGTGGAAATTTAAAATGGTGCAACCACTTGGAAAACAGTTTGGTAGGTCCTCAAAACATCAAACATAGATGTGCCATATGACCCAGCAATTCTAGGTATACATCCAAAAGAAATTAAAACATATGTTCACACAAAAACTTGTACATAAACGCTAATAGCAGCATTATTCACACTAGCCAAAAAGTATAAACAACTGTCCCATCACCTGATAAACTGATAAAACATGGCATATCTATAAAATGGAATATTATTCAGCCATTACAAGGAATGAAGTATTAACACATGCTACAACATAGATGGCCCTTGAAAACATTATGCTATGTGAAAGAAGCCAGACGCAAAACATCATGTATTGTATGATTCCATTTGTGTGAAATGTTCAGAATAGTCAAATCCATGCAGATAAAGAGTTAATTAATGGTTGCCAGGAATTGGGGGCTGGGAGTGCCAGGGTAAGTACAGGGAGGGACTACTAATGAGTATGGGATTTCTTTTTGACGTGATAAAAATTTTCAGGAATTAGCTAGTAATCAATTCACAACTTTGCAAATATACTAAAAATTCCTAAGTAATATGCTTTAAAAGAATAAATTGTATATTATGTGAACCAATGTTGATAGATATTGGAGAATCTCACTACACTTGAAATCAATGTACTATATTTTTTTAAAAGGTACTTACTGAGTCCTGCCATGACCACAGTTCAACTTTTGTAACCTGCTGTCTGACTGGTATTTTAAATCTTTGCTGCTCCTTTTTGCCACAGAGTCAAAATCATCTTCCCACAAAGAAAGCTATGCAATTAAGAGTGTTAAAATTGGCCAGGACCAGGAACAGTGGCTCATGCCTATAATCCCAGCACTTTTGGAGGCGGAGACAGGAGGATCACTTGAGCCCAGGAGTTGGAGACCAGCCTGGCCAAAGTAAGGAGACCTATCTCTACAAAAAATAAAAATAAAAAACTAACCAGGAATGGTGGTATGCACCTGTGGTCCCAGCCACAAAGGAGCCTGAGGTGGGAAGATCACCTGAGCCCAAAAGGTCAAGGCTGCAGTGAGCCATGATTGCACCACTTTGGGAGGCTGAGGCAGGAAGATCACTTGAAGCCTGGGCAACATAAGGAGATGAGCCTGGGCAGCATAGAAAAAACCCTTGTCTCTACAAAAAATTTAAAAATTAGCTGGGCATGGTGGCAGACACCTGTAGTTTCAGCTATTCAAGAGGCGGAGAAGGGAGGATCACTTGAGCCCAGGAGTTCGAGGCTGCAGTGAACTATAGTAATGCTACTGTACTCCAATCTGGGCAACGAAGCAAGAACCTATCTCAAAAAAAAAAAAAAAAAAAAAAAAGATGCTACTGTTGCACCATGTGAAAAAAAGTGTTAAAACTACTGCTGGGTCCATGCTGACTTAAGTTTCTCCTTGATTTTCATAAGTGTATAGTATAACTTGTATATGCTGAATTCAGTCTCTTGTACAACAGCAGACTTTTGTGCAACAGTAGGTGGATTGAAAATGTGGTGGGGAGAGGGTATTGCCTGCCTCCTCACCTTAAACAGCATTATTTACGCATTTTATCCGTGTTTCATAAAAATTAGTAGAAAATGAGAAACTTAAATTTTTAATGCCAGGGATGAAAAAATTTGAAACAAACTGCATGCAACTAGGATAAAGATAGAAATAAACATGCTGTAAGCAAAAAAAATTCAAAGGCAATTTAAATCCTTGTGAACCCACTGAAAGCATTATTTTCTATTTACTGCACATAATAGGTTCATAGCACCTGGATATAATAAATGTAATGCTGCCATCTTGTGACACCACGTATCATTGCCATTTTATACACACACCTCCAAGATAAAAATGTTCTTTCCCTATCAAAAATATAAAAAAGAGCTCAAGGTGGGCCTGAAAGCCAGGCTGCAGAGTTTGGACTTGGTCCTTAGGGCGGTGAGAAGGCACTGAAGAATTCAGACCAGAGAACTTCAGAAAAATGGCAGAAAAGAGACAGGGCTAACTTGCAGCTCCCACTTGGATGCACAGAGCAGCGTGTGGAGACTCACGTCATAAACTTTTGCTCCAAGGAGTACCACAAGAACGTACCAGGAAAGCTGAGATAATCCACAGACCTTTTGGAGGAAGTGGATTGCTGCTGCAGGCCCCCGGAGACAGCTGGAAAACTGTGAGTGCCCAAAGTGTGAAAGTGTGAAAGAAGAGCCATCTGCCCCCAAACACATACCCTCACTGGGGAACCAGAAGTCCAACTCACGGGAGAAGAATTTGACCTTACATACAGCTGAGACAAATTTACAGAGCTGAGCAAAATACAGGGGTAGAAGAAGAGGTGGGAAGAGCCCTTTGGGTACTCCCAGTCCCCAGAGAAGCCATTTCTAACTTTATCTCACGGGAGCCTTGGGGAGGACTGCCAGAAGAACTAGGAAAAGACTATGGGGAGAAGAAAACTTCCAGCTGAACCTTGTAACAATTTCCACCAAATGCAAAGTTTCCTGGACAGAACCTAGAGGAGGAAGTGAATCAGGAGCGCAGACACAGCACAGAAGCCGTGGCAGACAGGGAGGTGCAAAACCTGAAAGCCCTGCTTGCTTTCTCAGCCAGGCGGCTGGTAGCCTGGGGCAAGTTCTCAGCTCTGCTCACCCACTGCCTGGAAATAAACTCAGTGTTGTTGGGGGTGGGAAAGGAGGGTCATGGTGGGAGTGAGACCAGCCTTTAGGGCTGCAGGGGAGCTGGGTTAGGCCTGTAACTGCCGACTTTTCCCTACTTCCCTGAAGACCCACATGACACAGCAGAAGAAGCCATGACCTCCCTGGGAATATAACTCTATTGGCCTGAGAACAACATAACTCCATTGGCCTGAGAACTCCTGCAGCAGTGGCAGCAAGACCCACCCAAGGAGAGTCTGCACCCAGACACGCCTAGCCCTGCCCCCATGGTCTTTCTCTACCTGCCTGGGCATGGATGGGTAGAATGGGTAGAAGGGGTAGAATCAATACTGTGAAAATGATCATACTGCCAAAAGCAGTCTACACATTCAATGCAATTTCCATCAAAATACCACCATCATTCTTCACAGAACTAGGAAAAACAATCCTAAAATTCATATGGAACCAAAAATCATCTCACATAGCCAAAGCAATAATAAGCAAAAACAACAAATCTGGAGGCATCACATTACTCAACTTCAAACTATACTGTAAGGCCATAGTCACCAAAACAAAACAGCATGGTACTGGTATAAAAATAAGCATGTAGACCAACGGAACAGAAGAGAGAACCCAGAAATAAACCCAAATATTTACAGCCAACTGATCTTCCACAAAGCAAGAAAAATCATAAAGTGGGGAAAGGACACCCTATTCAACAAAACGAGTGCTTGGGATTAACATTTGACTGTGGCGCAACAGATGGTAAGAAGATAGAAAACTTGGATCCTCATGTTCCGTCTTCACCTTATAAAAAAATCAATTCGGCCTGGTTTGGTGGGCGCGGTGCGGTGGGTGGGCTCTCAACGTTTCCTGTAACATCCCCAGCACTGTGGCTGGAGGGGCCGGAGGGTCATGTGCGGGAATCACTTGGGATTGG